TCAGTTTAATGAACTGTCTCTGACTAATCCTTTCTTTTTAACCTCACAGACTTTTGGAAATGCAGTACTTGGTCCGTTTCACTGGATCGTCCCCGTGTCCGTGGCCATGTCCTGCTATGGAGGACTCAACGCTTCTGTCATTGCTGCTTCACGGTACTCAGTAAGCATGGAGAAGCTGCTCACATGCTGTTGATGCGGTTAAAGGGACCAGCAGTGTATTATACTGATGTTTGTCTTTGTGGAAGGAAGGCTGTTCTTTGTTGGAGCTAGGGAGGGCCACCTCCCCGACAGTCTGAGCCTGATCCACCTGAAGCGGTACACACCAGTACCTGCTCTGCTCTTCAATGTGAGTTTAAAACACGATGAAAACGTGTCGATAACTGGAAATAAAACGACACATTTTCTACTTTTTCCGTTTTGGCTTCAGGGACTCATGGGTTTGATCTTCCTGTGTGTGGAGGACGTGTTCCAGCTTATTAACTACTTCAGCTTCAGTTACTGGCTCTATGTTGGTCTCTCTGTTGCTGGCCTCATCTACCTGCGCATCAACCAGCCGGACAGGCACAGACCAGTCAAGGTAGAGTCTGCTTTACCTGCTTCAGATTCAGAAGCAGGGAGTAATATTTACCTCCAGCGTTTGTCTGTCTGTCCGTCTGTGTTCAGGATAACTGGAAACGTTTTTAGCAAAGATGCAACTCAATCCAATAATCCATTACATACAGGAATTTATTTAACCTTATCTGGAAGAACAAGCAGTTCTATTCAATTCTATTCAGTTTATTTCTATAGCTCCAATTCACATCATGTCATCTCAGGTCACTTTCCAGTTCAACCAGATCATCCAGTCAGATTGATTCAAATAAACGTCTTCAAACTTGGAAACAAAGTCCAGAGGATGACTGAGAATCTTCAGCAGGATAATCAGGGTGTTGAAATGATTCAAAGTCCAAAGAATCAAACCTTCTCCTCAGAAATATGAAACAGATAGAAAATGACTACTGAGAAGATGTTCTGGTGTCAGTTTTCCACCCACTGCATTACCATTCTACCTAGTTTTTATACCTGAACTTAGATTATATACCAAATTATATTTGTGAAGCTCAGATAACCTGACCTTGGTTCAATCTGAAGGTTTGGTTTCTTTTCTCACAGCTTGAAACCATCTTCTTTGTCTCTGCAGCTCAGCTTGTTCTTCCCCATCGTCTACTGCATGTGCAGCCTCTTCCTGGTCATCGTCCCTCTGTATGGAGACACCATCAACTCTCTCATAGGGATCAGCATTGCTCTGTCTGGAGTGCCGGTTTATTATGTCACCATTTATCTACCGGAGGACAGGAAGCCCCGATTCATACGCAAACTCAACGGTAAACCTCCTGATTCTATTTCACCATTAGTTTTAGCAAAGCTGCTTGCTTTAATGTTTTATACTGCGATCGTTGTTCCTAATATTCTGCCACGGCTGTAAGGAAATGGATTTCTGTGTTGAGCAAAACGGCTCCATTCGTGTCCATTAGCTATTAAAAACACTTTGGATCCCATCTTCTGGTTCCAAAAAGCTTCTTCTGGTTCCAAAAAGCTTCTTCTGG